TGTACCGTGTGCAGTTGTGTAAGTGGTGAAATGCATATTAGTGCACAGAAAATGCCAGCCGTGCTCTTTTGAAATAAAGCACCTCAGATGTGTTTTAGTTCAAAAGCACACCACTGCCATTTTCTCAGCACTGATGTGCATTTCACCACTTATACAAATATATGCAGCGCAGCACTGCGGCACTTAAATGTGTAAAAAGGCCCATTGTGCTCAACTGATACCTATATAGTGGTGTTTCATTTTAATCACAGAAAAACATGGATCTTGGGGTTTTTAATCAAAGAATTTGTGGCTTTTATCAGAGAATTTGTGACTTTTAAACCGAGAATACCAGGATCTCTGATTATAACCTACAGTAAGATCACTAGTGAGCTCTATTACCACTTTTCTGATTAATATAAGGAGGAAGAAAATGCCCCAGTTTGGATACAAGGACAAAAATGAGAAAGCATTTAATATACTAAAGCAGTGATTATTAATCAGGGTGCTGCAGCACCCTGGGGTGCCTTGAGAACCTCTCAGTGGTGTTGTGGGGTGCCACACAATGTTAGCACTGTTAGGTGTGCAAACATGATTTGCAAGGCAAACCTGGAGATTCCAAATAGGAATCTATAGTGTCAGAAATGTTCTGAGCTGTTGTGGTCTTTCTGAGTTTTTTTATTTTTCTGCAGTCAAAAAAAGTGAAAACTAAGAGTTGGCATTTTCTGAGGGGCACCTTGAGTCTAAAAAGTTTAGAACTTCTGTGCTAAAGGAAGGATTTGCAGATTACTAATAGCTGCCCTCCAAGAAATCAACCCAGGCAACTCATTCTCAGACAGATTCTCCAGGCTGATTCCTGTCTCCCAGTCCAGTTTGCACCTTAGTGGAACTTAAGAGATAACAGAGCACGCATGTGATGCATAGTATCATGTCCCTAGGTTACTTGTAACAGGGGGCATTCTCAAGGCCAATCCCACTGTGGCCCACCCACCTGTTTCTGGGCTAACCGCCTGCCTTCTTGCCCGCCACACCTTGTTGGTAATTAATAGATGTCAATTAAGTGGTAGGCTGCCCATTTCTTGCCCCGATGCCAGGGGGCACTATCTGCGGCTCCATTCCTCCCCTACACCACAGCCCAAGCCTCACAGATGGCATCCAGATGTTCTCACAATCGCCAGCCCCATGCTGGGCCCCCATAATCCTAGTGTTGAACCCCTCTATGATCCCTCCATTCTGGCGGCCTAACCTGCCTTCATCTTGGGCAGCATAGCTCCCTGAACTGCTTCGCCTTCCACGTGTGGTCCCCCCAGGACCTTCAGCTACTGGCCCTGGCCTACCTCCAGGCCAGTTGGAACCCCAGGTGCGCAGCTCTTGGGCGTTACTCACGGTGGGCCCCTGGCCCTTTTACCCTCCCAGTCCTGGCCCCAGCATTGACTAGTCAGGGGAAGTCCAGACAGGCATGAGTCTATGGCCTCACTCTCTTTCTCTGGGGGTCCACCCTCCAGAGCCTACAAAGGGGAAACCCACCCGGTTGTGGGGCTAGGGGTTAAGGTGCCCTGACCCGCCTTTCACCAGGGTGGTAACTGGCCTAGCATTTCCTGGGGGCTCCTGCACCACTGGGACCCCCCAAGCCACCCACTCCCAGCAGGGTACAGTTTTAGGTCTTGCCCAGGACCAGGAGCCTCCTGACCACTCCCTACAGCTCCTCCCTTACCTCCAGATGATACCAGCAGCCCTCCAGCCAGGCGATGTTGTTGCCCAACCTCCAGCAGCAAAACTGCCCTGTTTGTATGGGTTCAAAATGGCTGCCCTTATCAGGCAGCTGGCAGCTGCCAGCTCCAGGCCCTTAGAAGTGGCAGGCACAAACAGTGCCCTGCCACAATACTACAGGTCCAGAGCTTCTAACCTAAGCAAGTTCTAAGTCTGCTAAAGAAAGTGGGATAACTGCTGGTTTAGGTAGTGCAGCTTCCTAAGACCCAGGGGAAAAGGAGCTATGGGCACTGTGGGAATACTAAACCACTGTTTGCCAGTGCACAGCCCCCAAGGGACTGTAGACTAACCCCAGTAAATTGCAGAAATGAGAAAAATAGCCATTTTTCCAAATGGTTTTGCTTATGGAGACGTAGGTGAGGCAGTGTACAGCTTCTTGAAAGATACCTACCTTCCATTTTTGTTCCTACAGAAGGCCTTAAAGCAGCTAGCCAAGAAATTTGCTTGTAGGTTTTGAGTAGTGCAGCAGCCTCAGTCCAAACCTGCTATCATCTGTTCCTGTAACACTAAACTCAGCTACCTCTGCACGTGTGACCCAAACCAATACAGCCACCAATGGACATTTCACCTAAGCTGTACTTAACTTGTTGCTAAAAGGAACATAAGGTAGCATAAAAAAAGTCATAAAACAACACTTTTTTCCCTCTAAGTCAGAGTTCTTTGCCTACTAGAGTCCTTTTTCTCCCTCAAGTTCCCTTCCTCTGTTCAGCATTGGCAGCCCCTCAATACAGGGATGACAGCATTCCAGTAAATAGGGAAGTCATCAGTGAGTCCAGAGATGCCAGAGGCGACCAATCTGAGATCCTCATATTTGACTGCAGACGTGGCAAATAGTTCTGGGAGGAAGGGATGGATCCTGTTGATATCAGGTCACAGCTCTTTCCCGTTGTCTTTCTTGTCTATCCACTTCCACAGTGAGGGAAGTTTGCTCAAAATGATTGATGTCCTGTACATCATGGCACCACTGGGGACAATTCAGTATTTGAGTATCCCAAGTACTGATGTTAGTATCATGTTTCTTCAGACTGGCCTTCCAGATGTGCTTGGATCTGTTCTTTGCCTACCTCTAGAGTGGTGACCATTGGCGACTTGGAAGTATGGGGCTTGTTTTGAGAGCCACGTGTTGGACATCCTTATAACATGTCCTGCCCAATGGAGCTGGCGCCATATACATGTAACTTTAAGGCTGATGGTATTGCTTGAGTCAGAACACTGGCATTTGTTCTTCTGTCCTTTCAATTGATATGGAGGTTTTTCTGAAGACATTGGTGATTGAAATGTTCCAAAGCTTTCAGGTGTTTCTGGTAGGTCATCCAAGTTTCACCCCCATACAACAGAGTAGGAATGACAACAGCTTGGTAGACTAGAAGTTTTGTTTAGGTTGTGATGTCATGATCATCAAAAACATGATTTTGAAGACATCCAAAAGCAGCATTGGCAGATTTTATCTGGTTTTGATTATCATTGTTTATGTTTTTGGGACAGGTGACTACTCAGGTAGGGGGAATGGCCAGCATTCCCCAGGAATTGCTCTCTAATTTTAATATGTGGAGGAACAGGTGCTTGGTTTGGGGTGGATTGATAAAGTATGTTGGTTTTCATGAAGTTGAGTGAGTGCAAGCATTTCATACACTTTGCAGAAGCAATCAGGAATGACCTAGAGCTGTTCAGTTGTGTGGACTCATGACACAATTGTCAGTATATTGAAAGATCAGTAATGGAAGTGTTGGTTTTCTTGAATTTGGAATGTAACCAGCTGATGTTAAAGAGATTCCCAACCTTGCAATAATGGATGCTGACTCCAGATGGAAGTCTATCAGCAGTGAGAAGTGGAATAACTGTGATACAGATGGGAAAGATTGTTGGTACAATCACATATTCTTGCTTGACTCCTCTGTTCATGCTCCCTGTGATAAACGTAATTACTATAGGCCCTGTAATGCATTTGTGAACCAGTGACTACCTTAGGAGAGAGACGAGAGCTATGACTAATGCACAGACTTTAAGCTCTGCATACCTTATAGGCCCACAGAGGCCTATTGAGCTCTGTCCCCATACATTTTAGTGGAGAAAAGGAGTAATGTGTGGACACCTTTGTGTGCAGGCAGAAGTTGAAGAGGTCAACAAGATTGCCAGGAACTGTAAGGAATTCCTTAACTCTTCATGTCTAGGAAAACTGATAGGAAGAGAATAGCAGCTGAGAAATGTCCTGTGGAGATGCAGAGTTCCACAGGATATTTTAGGGGGTTGGTTGTAGCTGTGTTTCTCTAAGGACATAAGCAGACAAGGTTCTATGGGTAAATCTGATACCTTTTATTAGACTAAAATAGTTAGAAAAAATCTTCTTTAAAAGCTTTCAGGTACAAACAGCTATCTTCAGGCAGAGGAAGAACACAAAACAACTGCAGATGCTTCCTCTGCCTGTAGAAGGATTTTTGTACCCAAAAACTCACAAAGAAGAATTTTTCCAACTATTTTAGTTGGTCTAATAAAAGATACAGGATATTTTAAGCATAGGTGTTCCAGGAAGCTGCAAGTCCAGCCTAAATTCCAAGAACCACAAGTTCTGGCCTGTTGTGGCCTTTGAGTCGGTTATGATTGTTTGGGACATGACTTGTATGAAATTTTTCGACATACAGATTTTTTTTTAATTTATGAAATGTTGGTCAGACCCTAATGGCCTAAATTTACAGTTTGTGTAATATGGCAGAGATCCATTTACTTCCATTTATAACTATCCCAGCAGTTATAGGAGTGAAAGGAAATAGACTGATGTGATTACTCTCGCTATGTAATGCTGTAATGGCATGCAGGTTTCAGGGTAATAATGCCTATCTGTGGTTATTTTACACTAATGAAATGTAAGTTAACTCAGTGGGAAAAATAGCTAGTAAATTGGTTTCTAAAATTAATTACCACCTCCATTGTTTAAAAAAAAAGAATTTGGTTCTGTAGGAGATCACAGAATCATAGGAAAGTGGGGCTAGAAGGGGCCTCATTAGGTCATCTAATCCAGCCCCCTACTCAAGGCAGGATCATCCTTGAATAAACTGTCCTAACCAAGTGCCAAGTACCTGTCTAGCCTGCTCTTGAAAGTTTTTCAGGGATGAAGATTCCACAACTTCTCTAAGCCAATGTAGATCTCTTCTGGGGTTCTGGCTTCCCCCATGCCCCAGCCCAACACCACCCAGACGTTACGCTGCTATTCATTTGCATTGCTCTTAACTTGCGAATTTTTTTTTCTATTTTAGGCTCATGCACGTCTCAACAACCATCTCGATGGAATAGAAGCAATGTGGATTACCGGACTACTACTTCAGTCTCAGGTGAGTACTATGGTTGGTATCAGGGGTTAAGCCCTCTAACAGAGCAATCACGTCAAAGAAATAACACAGTGAAAAAGAAATAAAGCCCACCTGGGCTGATATCCCTGCTCTGCCCTTGGTCCCAGGGTGTATTGCTCAGTCAAGGGATTTTCCCCTTTATGTTCATCAGGTAGGGTTGCTGGCTACTTGATGCAGCACGCTGCGGGCCTGTAGAGGTGAAGGCGTGGCAGACTAAACTAACAAAATGAAAAAAAAGGGTAACTTAAGTTCAATAACCTTATAACAGGGCTCACCCACTCTCCTTCTGGCTGGCCCTTCACTGCAGCAGTTTGCCCCACTCCAGCCGGCATCTCCCAGCTTAACTGAGCTCTTCAGAGCTCCGCAGCCAGCTGGCCACTGGCTCTCCACCATTGTGGCCGTCCCACCCATCCTCCCAGGTCTTGGGGGCAAATCTCAGCTCACTGTATTCCCCACACTCCCTCACTTCCAGTTCTCCATGTTTCTTTTTCTCCCTCCAGGGCTGCTCTAGCCTCACAGAGCAGCTGCTGCAGAACCACAGCTCCCAGGGAACTCTCCTCTCTTTCACCAGCTCCTGCCAGTTCTCAGTAAGTATCTTCCTTGTTTCCTCTTCTTCACAACAGTTTCTAGATAAAACAATTTATTTACTGTAAAACATAAACATGCCTTTATTTTTGCCTGGGTGAGTAACCTGATTAGCCAGCATTCCCTGTATTGTGCATATGGGCTGTGAGGGTGATGTCACAATGACTCCTCAATAACATTCCTGGCAAACGTAATAATCATGAATGTTACTATGCACTTATTCAAAACTTTCCACCTGAGGGGAGCTCAGCACAACTGATAGCCATTAATTGAGCATCCCAACAATGTGGTAAAGTAGGTAAATATCATTATTCCATTTTCCAGATGAGGAAATTGAGGCTCAGAGTGCTTAAATGGATTGACATAAGTCTCACAGGAAGCTTGGGGCAGAGCAGAGACTAGAACCCAGATCCTGTGAATCCTAGTGTTGTGCCTTAGCCACACATGTATCTTTTTCACCATCTCTATCAACGCCACTGTCATCTGAACATTACCACTGAGGTTTGGTACTGAAGGCTTGGGAGGGAGGAACTTAGAGAGTAGACTCTGGGGACTGTGGAATCCACCATGACACTACTGGGCTTTTAGGGTGCCTATACACATGCTTCAGGGTGGGGGTTGTTTTAATTAGAGTGGATCTCAGGAGCTGTTCTAATTAAAATGCTGCAGTCTCAAGTATTCAGTATCCTGGATTTCAAAATGGCAAATGGGGTGCTTTAACTAAAGCTCATTCTATGAGCTTTAGTTAAAGTGCCCCTGCCACCATTTTGAAATTCAGGACACTGAATACATGAGACACTGCAGCGTGCTAGAGCATTCTGATTAGAGCACTCCAACAGATTAATCAAGTCTGCTCCAATGCATTCTAATCAGAATGTGTAAGAGCACATATAGAAGTGCCCTTATTGGCCAGAAATGTCCTGTTTAGATAATGCCAGAGATATGGACCTAAATGATACTGATACCTCCATCAGCTTCAACTAAGACCTGGGCAAAGACTCAGAATCCATGAAACTGTGTATTTGGTAGGTCCCTACCCATTACTTATTATCTTTTTTTCCTTTCTCTTTTGTTTTCTATTTCTGACTTAGCTAGACAAGGCTTTGTTTTTTTCCCCAATGCTGCTATGATTCCATGATGATAGAAGCAGCTAAAAGTGATATCTTAAACAGCCCAACACTGGTGTAAGATGCTGATGGGCACAGCACAATTCCTTAGCATTGAGGATGCAAGGAAAAGACAGCACCAAAAACGTAAGGTATATTTTCTATCTTTGCTTTTCTTTTCTCTCCCATTGTGTGCTTGTTTTGTCCTACCTTCAAAGAAGCAAAATGATATTCCAACAAGAATAGCAAATGCTCTAGTCCATATTAACTAACTTTTTCTCTTTCCCTCCCCGAGACAGGTGGGAAGTGACAGCTTTAAAAGATTTTTAAAGGGATTTGCTTGCTATCAAGCCAAGCAGGCCAAGTTCTCTGTACTCAAAATCCAGAGCCACATTTAACTGTCTACTGTCTGGATAGGAAGAGCATACTATTTAATACTTAATTCTCTCAACCTATTTATTCCATCAAAATTAAGACAACCTATCCCAATCTATAATATACATTCCTTTCCTGATTTGTGATTTGCTTTCTTAATTCCTGACACTAGCAGTTTTGCTGTTTCAAAATACTACTCTTTTAATTAGCTGACTCTGGACTGACAGGAGTTGAGGGACTCAGCATGAGTCAGCTAATGACACTCCAAAAGCTTTTAAATCCAAACTTAGAGCAATTTTCTTTTTAAGTGACTCAGAACACACGTTTTTACATTTGCCATGTTAGTGGTCCTGCCTAAAGTGTTTGATATTACTTTATGGGCACATCTACGTGAGATGTTTACTGCAGAGCTGACTAATAAGCTCTTCAGTAAATGTTTCAGTGTCTGCATGTGCACCCCTATTGGGGGGGGCAAGAAACTAAAACTCTGCAGCAGGATAATACTTGTAAATACTAGTACTACCCTGCTGCAGAGCTTCTGCATGTGCAGCAGCACACGTGTAGACCCTGACCTGGCTGGCTGGGACATAAGGGCGCTTCAGTGCAGGGGCTGCCTGCTAGCTAACCCCTGCACTGAAGCTCCCATCCTTCTGCAGCACACAGAGCCGGGGGGAGCAGCCCCAGGCTAGCAGGCTGACCCCTGGAAACCCCTGCGTACTGGGGCTGCTCTGACCCGACTCCATGTACTACGCATGAATAAACTCTAGAGCTGATTGCTCTGGAGTTAATTGCTCCCAGGTGCACATTCAAACAGACTGCCCAGGAGCAAAAAACTCCAGAGCAGTAAGCTCGAGAGTTTATTCATGTGCACTAATGGCATGTGTAGATGTGCCTAGCATCTTCTGGTTTGCTATTTAATTTTTTGTTATTGTAAGGTGATTTGGGACTTAAGAAAGGTGTTATTAAAATGGATAAATAGTAAGTATTCTTCATCTTGATGATAGTAATCCACATTGTTCTGTCTTCTCACTCTGAGTGATTGCTACCATAATAGTATGTACTGAAACAACAGTATTATATCAACTTAAGCTTCTTGCTCACTGATCAGGATAAACAAACTGGAATCATTAAAGCAAGTATGAACCATAAATCTCCTTTGTTCAACAACAGAAAACAAAACAATGACAAGTGACAAAGATACAGTGTTGCCCAGAAAATAGCAGTATCCTCTATGAAAAGAGGAAGCCATTAATTGGGGTAAGTCTCCAGATTGATTCCAGGTAGGGGGTTACTAATAAAACAATGAGGGTACTAGCTTAGGCAAGGAAAGGTGTTGAATGAGTTGGCAGGTGCTATTCAAGGCATGCCAGTGACCAGTGACAGAAATACCTAGAGAGAGAGACATACAATGACAGCAAGCTTTCTGTGCAACTTTGACCAAGTCAGTTAATCTCTCTCTGACTTGGCTTCCTCATCTGTAAAATGAGGTAGTAATAACACTTTCCTACCTCACAGAGCAGCATGCAGATTATTTCATTCATGCTTATAAAGAGTGTTGGGATCCTAAATGCGATGCTATTATTAAAGTTGAAAACCTATAAAATGTATAATACCCAGTCAATTATCCTCTGGAAAATGCATTATTAACGCGATGTTGCATGTTGGGGAATTGATATCATCAGAAAGCTCCTAAATCCAGCATATCTTTTCTGACTCATTTATTGTCTGTCTGTTCTTTTTTCTATTATAAGACATGCATGAGTCATTGGCAAACCAGGGCAGCTTCTCTGCAAATTTTTCTTTATTTCTGTTGCTGCAGTGATGCCTGCCTCTTGGTTGTCACTGTGGGATGCTTCATCTGTCCCAGCATTGCAGCATTCATGAGAGACACTGGTACCTCAAGGTACATAAAAAAAGCATTTAAAGCTGTGCCTATAGCCGAATCGCTGATTCTCCGAATCAGCATTGAATCTTCAGATTTGGATTCAGCCGAATCAAATCAGGGACAGCGATCTGAATCAATGAATCAAATCGCTGTCCCCGATTTGGGCCAAATCTGAATCGAATACAGCCCATTTTGCACACCCCTACAAAGTATACTTTGGCTGGACTTTGAAGAGTGTCTCAGGTCACCAAAGATTTCACACCATGCAAGTGTCCACTCTGGAAAGTAGTTTACAGCAAATAAACCATCCCTTTTTTCTTATACTCGCATGAAATTCCCACTGATGCCATCTGACTAAGACCTTCAGGATGTGTCCCATTAGCTCTTATATAGTGCAACAGATGTAATGTGTTTCTGTTAAGAGGTCAAATAAGACAGTAAAAAATCTAATGGTATGAAAACAAGAAAGAAATTGCAATAAGAAGGGGCCTGATGAGATGAAAAAAGGTGATGTGAGATGGCTTGGGAAAGCAGCCAGCACATGAAAGTGAACAAGGCAGTGGTCTTAAAACAAGGAGCAGGCATTTTCCCTGACAAGCCATCAGATTAGTCAACCAAAGACTGCGGCGCTGGTGTCATCAGGAAGGCTTTGGCTTCCATGACCACAGCCCACTCTTTGGCGAGAGAGGCAGCAAGCTGCTGGGAAGAGATGGCCTCCACTTCTCTCCCCTGGGG